TTTTGGCGTGTTTCAATAATTTTATGTAGTGATCAGTTCTGTGTTTGTCACATAAAATACCTAAATACTTACAGCCTTAAAAAAACACTTATGTCTTGCATCTGCATAATTTTAAAAATTTCTTGTTACTTCTTAACTTTCAAATCACTGACTGAGAAATAAATCAAAAGCAAAAAACAAAGCAACCCAGCTTATACTGACTTCAATTATATGGCTGAGCTTTTAACGCAGATGGTTATCTAAACAACATTTGTTTCAAAAGCTTCCACTGTTTATAAAGATATTGTCTTACAGAACAGCTTCACCCGGTGCCGACAGTTACGTATAGTAGTAACTCGACCGCCACAAAACATTTGGAGGGGAGGATGCAAAAATTACTAGCTCTACTTAGCTAGCGCTAACGTTATTAGGTAGTAGGTGGTTCCATTCCTTGAGTTTTATTTTAAAATCACAATGCGTAAGCAATAACAATAGATGTTACATCGGACAAAAACTGCCTAAAACAAGTTACTTAAAACAATCCATGTTAAACAAGACTAAAAATAAATCGCTAAAAATGGGACGACCGGTGCCTCAACAACAGAACACTTGCAATCATCATGACTCTTTTAAACCCCAGTCTGCTCCGCACTGCCTGCCAATTCTACGTCTCAAATGCTTGCGCCAAATTTTTCGCCTGTTGGCGACATTCCGCACTGCAAAGATGATTTTCCTGAGATACTGCTTCCATAATCACCGGTAGCTGCTCTCTCTAAAACATCGTCTGATCTATTGTTGAAGACCTTCATTTGGTTCGTTTTCTCCAATAACGCTTCGTTCTGTACTGTGTAAATGGAACTGATGGGCGCGGAATCGCAACCATTTAGCCTGTCTCCGGTATCTGTGTCTTTCCTTTGTTGGGACTGAATCGGGTTGAATTTCGGCTGCTTCTTCGTTCCCCTGCTGATTGGTCGCGCTATCGTACGTTTCTGACATTAGGTTACCACGCTGCTGGAATTACTCTGAGCCGTGCGTTCAGCAAACTCTACTCGAATTAGAGTCTGTCTCTGCAGTTCCTTTCCTATACAAGACTTGGTTTAGCTTCAAATTTTTCTCAGACTTAGTACACTTATGCGCACGTACACGTTTTCTAATTGCAGTACAGCAAATGTCGACCAAACTCTTTTCTTCATCCTTAACCCTTTTTCTTTTTCTGTGATTTGCAGGGGATAATGATGGTTGATGGGTCTTTCTATCGTGGCATGGTTGTTCAGTTTAATTGTCACTGTTCATTTCCTTCCTTCGCTATCGTGGGCGATTCTGTAATCTTTCAAGTTTCTATTCGTTTTTACCTTCGTGGAAGTCTTCGAATAACACTTCTACCCTGTCTGTGTTTAACTCTCCCCAACAAAATCTTCAAGTAATTCTCTCTCCAGACCTTTCAAAATCCAGCTTAACAATCTTCAATTTTTACCACTCTTTTCCTCAATTAGTTAGCTGCAACTTGAAGTGTATTACTTAACTTTCCGCTTTGTAACCCGTTGGTTTTACTGTGGTAAATCTTCGCCTTTAGGCGTATAGAGTTCACTGGACGCAGTGTTCCGGTACTCTCGCCGGAAACCTGATCTGTTTGTTGAGGGTTCAAAACCTCTTTGGTCTGTACCACTGAAGTACCAAACTTAGCTTCTGTTAAGGGCTTTCTCCCACTGCTTCATATAACGCAGGTCTCAAATGACCAATCATTCTTTTATTCATTTTCTGTTTCAGTGAGGCGTCAGGAGTTATAAGGTTTCACTCACAAGATAATTTTTGAAAGGCAATCCCAAAGCTTAATGCATTACTCAACAAAAAAATTCAGGTTTACCTTTTCAGACTAAAAACTTATCAAGGACGTTTAAGAAGTTATTCGTGGATTGGCTATTGACAATTTTAAGATGTACCCTCCGGGTAACCGTATTAATGAAAACTTAAATTTACTTTTTTAAGATTTCTGATCTATTTTCAGCTTTTACCGTTATTGGTCTTGTGTGATCTATAAATTGAGAAAAAATAAAGAAGTAATTACTTGACGCGAAATTTTGCTCTTCTCTTTATCTGCGAAGAAAGAGGCTTATTTTATTCGGATTATTTTTGTATTAAGATCAACTGTCTAAGTTTGTCTGAGGTTTTTGACGTCTCCTTCAATTTCCCATCTAATTATAATAAGATTGTGTGATATGATTACAAAACTTAACTAAATGACTATTGTTAATAGTATTTTAAATTTAGCCTGCAACATCATGACAATATTTTTCCTAATCTACTTTTAATTATTCCTCTTTCTCAGTATCGGAGTGTATGGTTACCTTCAGAGGTACCAATTAAATTAGAGGCGATAGGATAGAATAGTAATCAAACAGTATTTAGAAACTAAAGGGAATTGAAAATTGAACGTGAATTACAAAATTGAGCGTTGGTTCGTTGAATCTGCAAGATACTGCTCTCTGGCTTTCAAAGTAATTCACTGATTTAAACAAATTTGGAGTTGAGATAACTGAGAAATAACACTTTTTGCATTTGTAGTCAAATTCTGCAAGTTTATAAAACTGAAGTACGCACGCCATCGTCAGTGTATGTGCACGGTATTCTGAATCATTCTGAGGGTTTAAGTTTTTTGTTTCGTTTTTTAAGGGCTATTTTTATTTGAATTTATTACATCTTAGTTTAATACTCAAATACGGAGTGAGAGCTTGCAATAGAACAGCATTTCTTTCGATGAGTGACGTTTTACACGATTACCTTTCGAAATAGCAACAGCTTAATGTAATAAGAGTGGAACAACAAGCGAAAATGTGTGCCTTGCTGAGAATATTTAGTGATTGCAAAAGTCTGAGTAAAGTTGTTTCGTAATTCACCTAGCTTTCCGTATCCGAAATAATTTTCTGTCGAACTACTATTTTGAAGAAATTACCTTTTGAAAGCTAGATTACAGAGCCTTTTGCTTAATAAAATAAGTATTTCCCCAACATTTCACGCCTAGCAAATCATTCCCCACATTATCACGTATTCCGCGGTACAATTTGGTATTTTAGACCATTTCAGTTCGAAGAAATGTACCTGCAGTCAATTTGTAAGGTTTACTTCGCACTTAAAAAAATAAGTTTTGGTCATTTACTTTAACATTACCAATTCTTTTTTTAATTTTTTCGTCAAGCAGGAAATAATTTTAAAAAAAATCTAAAATTGCATATGAATACTGTGTTATAAAAGTTCAAGATTTTGAAAAATTGACAAGCAGTTCTGTATAAAATGAAACTTGTAAAAACTTTATTAAATTAAAGAAACAGCTACCTGAGTATTCATTATTTAATTTAATTGTTAGGAAACAGAAAGCGAAGTTACAATATAAGAAATGGTTCTGATTATAAAGTTTTCTGGTAAAGAACGTAAAGAAAACAAAAGGCTTAAATTAAATTTTTTTTGACTTTTTCTATATTCTGCCATCGTGTATTGGAAAGGTGCAAGGACTTCGCATACTGGGCCATTGAATATTGTTATCGTAGAAGGGTAACAGGATTGAATTCGATAAAAACTGTCGCAATACACGAGCAGCTTGTAATTGCCAAAAATTTGTATTGCACAGTAGAGCAGCCTGACATTTGTTGATTGAAAACTTGCAGAAATTTTACTTGTCAAGCAGCTTTATTGAGGAAGAAGTTTTAAAGTAAACACTCCTTAGCTTACTTTCAAGTATGCCGTTGAGAATGGTCAACGTTACTTCGCCGTTCCAAAAGAATGTGGCTCTGACGATAGTGGTATTCTGTGAAAGACCATATAAACAGTGTACTTCTCGGGTTTGAAGTTTGTTTAAAATTTTTTGGGAATAAAATTGAGCACTGATAATCTTTATGCACTTTTTTAAAAGGCGTTATACTCGGTTGTTTGCCTTTAAATAATTAGTCAGGATTTTAGACAAATTTCAAAGGAAAAGATGAGAATTCAAGTCAGAATGCTCACTTTTCACTCATTATCTTATATATCTCTATGTTTTCATGATAATCAGGCACAGCGCAGGAATTACAGAACTGAAAACAAAGTCTGTTAAAATAATATCTTCGCTAAGTAGGATCTTATAAGTGCTCAATGTGCTCCAAGCAAGGTTTATTTTAGGCTTTTTTCTTTTTCAGTTGTATAAATCTAGCAAATTGTGATCTATGCGGGAACACGTGCCTTTGTGATTCAATATAAAAAAAATTTTTACATGTCATTTATGTACTGTCATAATTAAAAAAAAACGAAGTTTATCGATGCTTGATTGAAAAAAGACGTTTTAAATCTCTCATTTCTATGAAAGGTGAGCAGACTTTCAGAAATAAGCAAAATATCCAAATATTTCAAATATTTTTTCTGGAAAAAGACTGTGCGATTTAATATGAAATTGGTCTTCTATTACATTTTATAGCAAATCATCGTTATTCGGAATTGTTCGGAAACAGAGTGAGGAAATTTCAGCAATACTTATTAATTCACAATGTAGCTATTCGTTTTTGGAACTGCTGTTCGGTCCTCGTTTTTTGTCTTTCAAAACTTCTGAACTTTAGCGCTTGGTGGAGTGATTTTGAGCTTCTTCGAGCTTCAGAACTGTTCTGTCATTTCTTGTTTTATCGTTGTCTTATCTGCTACAGTCTCTTAGGCTACATCAAACTTGTCTCTGACATCTTTTAAAGTAGCGCATAAGAAGTCGTTCGTGACAAACACTCGTGCAGCGTACTGTTTTAGAGCGTATATGATTTAGAATTAGTTGCTGTAAGAGAAGCCTGAGCTTAACCTAATTGGTTTTTCTCTTGCTGGTATTCTTTTTCTGATAATTACACCGTGACAATACGAGTATTCCTCTCTCTTCTTCTTTTTTTTTTTAAAATTCAGGTTGTAAGTCTGTATCTTCATTCTAAATATTGTTGTATACTTATCACTCAACGGTCGTCGGTCGCCTTGAATGAATCTAAATAACTTTTGGTTTTAACAGCTTGTCAACTTGTAGATAAATTCTTTCTTTACCACGAAACATTTTATTATGAAACTTTTTTCCAAAACTTTGAAGGTTTAATTGAGAAATCCAAAAAGAAAAAAGGAAAAGAGAGCAAGCGAGGAAGGGGACAAATATTCACTGCAGGCCAGTTCGTTTAATCGAATACAGTAAAATAGACATTAACGACGCACATTGATGTAATCAGTAGCAATTCAAGATTATCTCACAACTACTTTGTAATTACGGTTCTACCTTTCCTTATTACATAGAAAATGACAAACTCAATGTTGGTATTAGTAAACTGCTAAAATTTAGGTTGTTTTTAATGAGTTTTTTTTTAATTATAAATGTAAAACACTTGCAGGCGGAGGGTGTATTAATTACAGCTGCAGAAGCGGTTTTAGATGCATCAGGGGAACATGCATTCTTCGTTCACTAATAGGTTACATACTGCTTTTCTTTCCTCTTTTTTGAATTTTTGCTGGAATTGTTTGCTTTCAGTTGTATCAACATACTTTTCTACATTTAACTTGTTTTGCTGAAAGTTTCATTTCTCAATGAGGCACACTATTTCTCACTGCAGGTCAGAGTTGCAGTGGCACTTATTGTCCGCCGGGTTCCTATTGCGCTACAGGTCTTTATACATGTATTGTTGGAGGCAGTGAGTGCTTGAATATTCAACTCTTTAATCTTTCCCAAATGCGTTCGCTTTTTTTTTTCATGTCGTTGTAGTTGGCCCCTGTGTTAATCAAGGCTGCCCTCGTGGTTATTACTGCTTCAAACAAGGATATGTCTGCGTGCGCACAGGTGAGAGAAGCTTTTGTGATAATGTATGGATTCATATTAAATTATAAATAATGTAATTAAAGAAAAAAAGCATTGTTCTTTTTTAAAGATTTGGAATAACTGTCTGAAATAAATAACAAAATTCAGCTGCTTTATCAATTTATATTCAGCGGGTGCGTGTGTTGCAAATACTTGTTATGGT